CAGATTGTCACGTAGGCCTGGTCACACAAGAAGGGGTGTGGGGCTACAGGCTCCCAACACCAAATTTTCGGAAATCTTTATTATTTCATGGGAATTCTCTGCTCCTTTAACTTACTTTATATATTTAGGTTAACACAATATATGAAACACTTCATTTGTATCTGTTCACTGAACATATTACATATTTATGACCTTTTCCCTCATTGTTTTATTTTATTTAAATAATCAGGATATGAATGGATACTTTGAATAATAAACAAACCATATTTTTAATGACTATATATGGCTAATACACTTACTTTGATTCGTATCACACCCAATATTTTTCATTGAAATGGCTCCTTTTATTCTGAATAATTTTATGTATATGCTTAGAGTATAAAGTCACTATTACATTTTTGCTAAATAAGTAAGAAGCATGTGAATGGTGGGATTTAAAAGGGAATGATTGAACATGAAAATTCTGTTAATTTTGAACATGTATTTCGCAGCATAACAAAATGTGCTCAGCTGTTCATTTTGTAAAGAGAGAAAAATACATTTAAAATTATAATTGTAGCATTCAGAGACTGTAATTTATGCAGTCATAAGAAAAACATAAATGCTCCATATCAGTGGGTAGAGAAGAAAGTCAATTTTCAACAAAACATTTGGTGATTAAATATCTTCACATAGAACTTTTTTTAAAAAATAGAAATAAAGAAAATTGAAAGTCAGGAACCAAGCATTAGGCTTTTCACACGATTCAGTGACAACCAGAAAACTATAGAGCTTGAACTCAGATGGTACATGGGAAAACTTCTGGTTCTTTGAGAATTGGTGAACACATCCCCTCTACCGACCATCCACATTAGCATCATGCTTCTTTCCTTTCTTCTGAGCCAAGATAGACCCTGAATTTGAAGTTTGATGAACTCTTGTATATTGAGGATTTTAATAACCTTCATAAAAATAAAAGACCCTCTATGAATTGACTGCAGTTTTTGGCTTATTTTTCCAGCAGTGGTGATGGAATTTGCACTGCTCAGTCTGTACTCTTGTGCTGTGATCCTTTGGATTCAGTGCCACACTGAGGTTGGCTAGATCTGCCAAGCTGTGAAACAGAACACAGCCAGCAAACTAACCCACAGGAAGATTAAATCTGCAACCTCGGCTGTGCCACCAGTGCTCCACAGCAGGTCACTGAGCTAACGAGGTTGTCTTGGGGAGAATGTCCTGTAGATGTGCTGCACCTTGTTAAGTCCCCGTAATGTGGCTTGCTCAGAGTGAAGTTGTGAGGTTGGTCCAGTTTGTCTGGGGCATCTCCTGCTCTCTTTTTAGGTCCTGCTTTAATGTCTGTCTTATCTTTTAGGTTGATAGTAAACTCTTTACCTTCCCTTATCTCTCACCATCCCACTCTTGCCAAAAATATCTTTCTAGAAAGAAGCTAGTATATAATGTGTGTTAAAGCCCACACATTAAATCTTCTGAGGTTTTTGAATGTTGAGTTCTATCTCCACTGGGTTGTTTTTCTTCTTAAAGTTATCTATGCATTTGACCACAATGAGTAGGAAAGCAGAGAGGAGAGAGAGAGAGAGAGAGAGAGAGAGAGGTATTTTTGCATTTACTCCTTTCTGATTTTACAGCGGAAACCCCCAATGGTGGTGGAGGATCTTTTTGAAGACATGAAAGATGGTGTTAAGCTGCTTGCTCTGCTGGAGGTCCTGTCCGGGCAGAAACTGGTAAGAATTTTTCTGTGACCATACTTGTTAAGTGGTTACTATTTGGAATTTGAAGATTGTGGAGTTGGGAGTCTCAGGGGTGCTGTCCATGTGAGAGAAAGTGCTTTTCTTTTGTAGTTGGTAATATATATAAAACAACTGATCTACTGGTCACTTCTGGAAGCAAGGAATAAACTTCCTTTCTTGTTCCTGCACACCCCTAGTGGATTCAAAACATGATGTTTGTAGTAGAAACCTTAGAAGTAGGGGTTAACAGCCTTCATCAGTAACTTGCCATGGTTACCTGCTCCATCTGTGTGATACCCAGGGAGGTGAGTTGCAAATTAACAGCTACCTCACTTTAAGTGTTTGCTTTCCATTTGGAAAGGATTGTTGGACAATATCTGTGTATTTATATAGTTGTTTGTTGAGAATTAAACTTGAAACCTGTGTGGCATTCTTTATACTCTTGTTGACATCCCATTTATCAATCATTTATAACGAGAATATAAGAAGAAAGGCACTGAGAAGATTTTTTTTATGTGCTGCAGTGAAAAACAACATTGACAGTGAGCTACAAAGTATGTTTTTCTACATTATCAAATAATAAAATATTTATTTTTTATTGCTTATGTTTTTCATTTCAGAGGAGTAGAGCAGTAAGTAGTTTGACAATATAAATTATTTATACATAATGTTTACTGTAAGTAGAAAAAAGAGTTCAAGGAATAACCTTCAGACAGTGGTTTAACATACTATGTGAAGATGGAAACTTGTATCCAAATGCAGAGTCCAAAATTAGTAGCACATTTTTACTTTACCTCTTGCATCCTGGCAAGAACTACACAATTATTATTACTTGGATAATCAATTTTTAAAAAGACAGTTTTTATCTGAACACAAGTTTTCTGTTAATTTTGTGCAGAGTCCTCACAATAGTTTTTGTAAAAGGGTTGTTGGTTGTATGTAAATCATTCATTTCACTGGATTCATATTCATCTACTTGGATTCACAGATGCTTCTGGCGTTCCATGTCCCTTCCCAGAACACCTCTGACTTCAGTTCCGTCATGGTAGACACTTCCCGTAGACTCCGACAGCATCTTACCTCAAGTACTGGTAGCATCTCTCTGGGTTTCTGCCTCAGGGCTCTGATCAAAGCCGCAAGTTCATGGCAGCCCTGAAGTGTAGGAGAGTTGATGGTCCCAAAGGACCCTCAACCAATGAAGTTGGGAGTTCATGAATAAATGCCCCAGCCTCAAATTTTTATGAGAGGCAATTCTGAAGCATGTCTTACACATGTCTCATAGAGTTCCCCATAGGGTCCCCAGCAGGATTGAGCGCCAGTTGCCCACAGCAGTAACCCTCGATAATACACCCTTCATTGTTTTTCTTCTTCTTCCTGGTCTAACTCTCCACACATTCTCTCCTGCTTCCTGGGATCATCTGCCCAATAAACTATGTGCACCCAATCCTTGTCTCAAGCTCTGCTTTGAGGGAAATCAAACGAAATATATATGAAAAGCCAATTTGGAATATATAGGCATATGCATTAGCTAAATAAACTGGATTAGCAGTAAGATTTGGGAGTCATTGGACTGAAACAAATACTCCCTTGATTGTCTGATATAACTGGCCATCTTTATATATCCTTCTGAATTAAGCTATTTACTCAAAGGTTGAAGGCACCTTTATTACTATTCATATGGGTATTCAAGAAGTATATCTGTCATTCCAAGTGTCAAAATAATTCTGCCATTTTACTTCACCAACAGTATACAGAAATCTTGATGGGCATTTAACTGCCAAGATAAATTATTCAGGAAAAAGTGTATATTTTTGAAATAACAATCCTACTTTTATTTAATTGCCCTACTCATTCAGACATAGTTAGACTTGTGGGATCTTAAAGCTAGAAGGGATTCCAGAAAGAATCTCAGCATTCTCATTTAACAGATAGGGAAACTGAAACATAGAAAGGCAATTTCTGATTTAACCTTTATTATTTATTTATATTGAGCCCTTCAAGATTCTCAGTTATATAAAAGAAATTATTCTGAAATTATAAATATGCTTTGCCAATGCTTATTTGAATTTTGTGCATGCATGCATTATGGTTCAGGACCATATGGGCATGTCATTTCCCTCAGGAGCATTAACACTGTTCAGGAAATCTATAATTATCTGATGGGCAGATCTCTACTAAGAACACCTACTTAACATCATAGTTGACATAGCTCAGGACTCTGACTCTAACCATGATCATCTGGGAGATGTGGTCAGATGGCTCAGCATCTTCTTTACCGCCAACATCTCAGGATAAAGGTGGAATTTCAATATCCTAGTACTTTTTAACAACGTGTATGACATCCTTGTCTATGATTTTATTTAACATCTTAGGGAACTTAAAATTTTTTTAAGTTATTATTCTTGAATTTCTCTACATTTCTTGAATATTATTTGTAGACCACTTACTGTTTAAATGAATCAGTGATTATATATCTTTTAATATTTTTTATCACACACAAACGCAGGAATACAAAATTTAATTTTGCACTTAGGATTTTTTCAAAAATGTGAGAAATTGCCATTGAAAAATTAGAAACAATAGAAACAATATGAATAGAATTAAAACTGCAGAGGAATGTCTTTTTTTAAATCTGTTTTGTTAACCATCAGTAAAGTATTTTTTATAAAAAAGACTCTAATTCTTTGCATTCAAGAGAAGTCCAATAACCCACTTAGAAGTGAAGAACCGACACCCTTAGGAAATCTTGAGCATCAAAGTGTCCTGTATGTTCACTGCTGACTCTGCTAGTCATCAGTCATATATTTAGAGTGGAACTCAATCCTGCAATGGGTTTGGCATCATCTACTAATCATTCAGCTGGTATTTCTAGAGTCCCTGTTATGGATAAGGCAATACTTAATGCATTCTAAAGAAAACATAGATGAATAAGATATGGTCCGTGTCTCCAAAGAGCTTGTAGCACAGAAAGCAGGATAATTAGTTAGGATAAGTTAAGGTGTGTAAAAATAGATGCGTGTATGTGATGGGATAATACTATACATGTGTATATCCTTCTCACTTAGCCAGGATACATCTATAGAAGAAAAGCAGAGAGAAGGTATTTGCTTTACTAGATAAAAGATCTTACAATGAAGCTCTATCACTTTAGACAGCGAAGTATTGGCACAGGAATGGGCATGTTGACAAATGCAAGAGTCCAGAAAAAGGTGAAGACATGAATGGATCTTTAGAATATGTCAGAGGTGGGTTTAAAGAAGGGACTATTCAATAAATAAAACAGGAAAAAAAAGCTTATTCTAATTAAAGCAATTAAATTGAATTCTTTTCTCATGGCTTATAAAAAAATCATATCTACATGGATAAAGGACGTAACAGCAAAAACACTTTAAAATTTTAAAAAATACAGGTTAACATCTTTTAGACTTAAGGAGAGGAAAAAAATTGTTCAATAAGACACAAAAAACTGACTATAAAAGATTGCTATATATTACTATACTATATTTAGTATTTTACTTTATCAAAACTAAAAACATTTTTAAAGTCAAAAACCTTTAAAGAAAGTGACAAAAGTTAGAAATTTGTCAAAGATATTCACAAGTCATATCATATTGTGAAAAAACTAAGAGAGGATTATTTTTAAGAATATATAGAATGTATCTTCAAAACAACAAGGGTACAAACAACCTGAAGGAAAACCTGGGCAAAAGATGAGAAAAGGCATTTTGCAAAACACACAAACACACACACACACACACACTCACACACTCACACACTCACACACTCTATTGCCAGTGAACAGAGGACAAGATGTCCACATCATTGATGTCCACATCATTGCTGATAAGGGAAATGCAAATGAAAACTACGATGAAAAACAGTACATACATTTTACATACAATCCATTAAAAGAAAACAAACAAAACACTTAAATATCTGTCAAAATCAAATGTTGGAGAGGAGGATGTGTGGATCAACAGGGTTATTTTGCAATGCTGATAAGAGTGAAAAGTAGTGCAATCATTTTAGAAAAGTTTGGCATTAGTTTACAAGTTCAAAAGTCACCTTCCCTCTGACTCAGCAATTCCACTCTTAGGTGTACATCCAAGAGAAATTATGCCTGTACAAATGCTGAGAGGTATAAGAATGAACTAGCAGCACAGGTCATAATAGCAATAACCTGGAAATAACCCAGATTCATATCCAAAGGAGAGTATATAAATGGCACATTATATAGCTGTCCAAATGAATGAAATACAGTGAAAGGCCACAATATGGTTAAATTTTTGTAATGCAATGTTATTTGGAAAAGTAAGTCTCAAAGAAGCAATATAGTCATACTCTTTATATAAAGTTAGAAACTAAAATAAATATTCCTTTTAAGAATGCATATGAATGAAATGAATCTGTATAAAAAGGAAAGCATTGGACTGAATTTGATGTGATGGTTGCCACGGGTATAGGAAGATAGGAGAAAGGAATAAACGGCCTTGCTGCTGAGGGATATGTCTTTCACACTCAATCGTGGGTCCTGGCTTCATTTCAGTTGGCAGGTTCATAGGTACTTTTTTACATTAGAAAAGATAATTAAATAAACTAAATAAATTGGCTATTCATGGATCAATAATGAGACTATGTCATGTTTAACAGAAGTCCCTGTAAAGAATAAATACAAATTAAAAAATATATGTTGTATTTAAATATTTGTTTAAAATTATGTCATAAAAATTATTACCTGGCACAGTATTAATTGGAAAATAAAAGATACTTGATTTTGAATTTTAATGGGAGATTATTTAGAGCTCTAGGATCACAGAGAAGAGACCAGTTTACCAGCTATGCAACCTTAGAGAAATTATTAAACCTAAGTTATGCTTGTAGTTCCTATAAATGTAAAGGAGGTTAATAATATCTGCTTCACTGAAATTATTTTGAGTCTTCAAATTAACAGTGTGGCACAGAGAAAGCACATAATAAAATTTGGTGACTTAAACACAGATAACTTAGAGTATCCATGTACTGGAATGCAATGTTTTGTGAATAACATTTTAATTCTCACAATCATGTTTTTTAACCTTGGATCATATGCTCCATGTATTTTGGTCATTCATTTCAAGAAATATTACTAACACCATCAGTATCCTTACATGTTTGCATGACTGAAAAAGAGTGGTGAGTGACCAAGAGTACTTTTCATATAAATATCTCCCAGCTTATGAGTCACAGTCTCAGTAGACAACATAGGAGTTTTGTGAATTTCTGCTCTTAGGCATACAGAAGCCTAAAAATCAAATGCATCAATAGGTACGCTGAGAATGAATGCTTTTGTTGAATAAATTAGTACAGTACATCTTCAGGGTGCTGTGAGGATAACACTTCTTTATGCATTTGCCAACCTTCACAGAAATTGAATAATGTTGGTTGCTAGTGAATATTCTTCAAGTATATTTTTAGTCCATTTAAATACATTTTATAACTGTCTTTTTAATATGTGCATTTTGATTTATTCCTGTTCTTTCCCCTTTTACAGCCTTGTGAGCAGGGACGCCGTATGAAGCGAATCCATGCTGTGGCTAACATCGGCACAGCCCTCAAGTTCCTTGAAGGAAGAAAGGTAAGAGAGAAACAAAAACGAAACACTTAAAGACACGGGCATACTAATGTTTGCAGTATAGGCTGTGGGGGCAAAAGCACTGCCTGAAATCTATACAGCACAGAACCAGTATCCTTATAAAATAACTTTAGATTTATTGAAAAGTTGCAAAAAAAGATTTCACATTTACCCTTAATCCAGCTTCCCCTAATGTTAAGAATTTATATGACCATAGTACAATTATCAAAATAGAGAAATTGAAATTGGCATGATACTTTTAACTAAAGCACAGACATTAGTCTAATTTCATCAATTTCCCCCTACTGGCTGTTTCTGTTCCAGGATCCAATCTAATATCACACATTACATTTAATTATCTTTTACATTCTATGACAGGTTCTCATTTTTTCATTGTCTTTCATGACCTTAACACCTTTGATAACTACTGGTCAGTTATTTTGCAGAATATCTCTCAATTTGTGTTTGTATGACATTTTCTCATGATTAGATTTATTGTTGTAGCTACACAATATTCCATTGCCTGGATGTTCCATACTTAATTTAACCACTCTCATATGAATGGGCTATTAATTGTTTCTAATATTTTTCAGACACAAACGGTAACTGCGTGCATATGTACTTTCCTATAATTGGAGGCGTATCTTCTAGGTAAATTCCTAGAAGTGTGGTTGCTAGGTCAAAAGATGAGTGGACATATAATTTTCTTAGATATTGCTATTTTTTCCTCCAAAAGAGCTGCACCAATCCTCTTGGATGTAGCCTTTTCTAATTTGTGGGAATTTAGGAAGTCTGTGGTTGGCAATACCACAACTAGCTTTATAGATGGACATCCCCGTACGTTTGGAATATAGAATGATTCAATTATTTCCTTCTCTGTCTATATGCACTAAATTAATTCATTTACTTCACAAATGTGTAATTGAGTAATTTCTGCAAGACAAGAAGTCTGGAAAATACAAAATTAAAGAAAACTGAGATTCTGGCCTTTAAATAATTTACATTTTGATAAGTTGATAATGCAGTGAATCAGTGTAAAGTTCAGTCAGTTGTTCAAACTTCATATCCAAGAGAAAGGCATTAAGTTGGTGTAGAAAATAATCTTAGCTTTATGTGCAGTATTGGTCAGTGTCTCCAGATCATCCTAATCTCATTAGAGTGAACACTTTATTTAGAGTTTTTCAGGTCTTTCAGTTTCCCATATCAGCTATATGACAACAGTGTCTTACTTCATTCTGAGATATGCTTATTGGCTAGAATATCAAAACAAAATTCCTCTTATTAATGTCTTGGAGATATTTAATGACTTAACCTGCAAAAAGGCGTTGTTTATAAAGAAGACTTATTTTCACAGAAGACTTGTTTTCTAAAGGTACATTTTCACAGAACAAGTAGTAAAAAAAGTAGAGAAATTAGATTTTAAATATTGTATTTTTTAGGAGCAGAAAATAATAAAGCATTTGAATATCAGGACAAAATTCCAAGAAATTTCCTTCTGTCCCCACAAGTCCCTTAATCACTTTTAAGTTAAAACAAAATAAAAAAACCCTTCCTGAAACTTATGATTTTTAGCTACTCTTTCTTGCTCTTTTTTACCCGCAACCTCACAGAATGTCTGGTTGTAGGGAGGAATGAGTTTTTGAAGGCTCTTTGCTACCCTCCTGCTTTTCTCTTTTACAAGTTATGCACTTATGTCTCAATTATATTTTCAAGCACTTGTCTTTGATCTTTGTACTTACTTTGTCCTCCATTCAGATTTTTTTCTTTAGATAACAGGGAATTTGTATAGTCCTTGGATTCTTATTTAGGAAAAATGAAGGTACTCCCCACATTTTATCGAGAAAATCCTACCATGGTTTTTATTTTTTCTCTTATTTGCAGAGCTATGGAAGAAAAAGACATATGTCAGAATCTGATAAGAAATGCATAAATGTGACAGTGGTGAATAAATCCATCAACACCTTTCACAAGTTTCCTTCTCCAATGAGGTGTCAGGTAGATTATTCTAAACAGCAATACAGGGAGCCAACCACTGACCACCTTCCTAAAACATGCTGTAGCACAGACAAGGGACATAAATTTAAATTCCTATGAGGTTCGAAAAAGTGATGTGAAGGAATGAAGTAAATTAGAGGCTAACTTTGGTAACAGGAGTACTAAGTAGTCCTGCGCCGTGTCTTGAAGAGGACAATTACTTAGTTCCAACTAGTTACCTCAATGAAATGCAAGGACAGTGACCCACCTAGGTTTTCCAATTTACCAAGAAAAGCCAGTAGTCTGCATTTTTATTGAAATTTAATTATTTATTTTAATATGTTTAAATTATATATTAAATAATGCAGGTAGTTGGCTACCTGTATTTTTGTTGGGAATGATCCACCTGACACCTCACTGTAGAAAGCAGCTAGTGTTAAGTGATAATGGATCCATTCATTAGGTTTTCAAATTTATCAAGAAAAGCTAGTCATCTGAACTTTTTTATTAAAATGTTTTTGAAATTCACTTACAAATTATTCAAATATTTTTGAAACATCCGTGGGCCTTGTGTTAGTCTGCTTGGGCTGACATAACAAAATATCACAGACTGGGTGGCTTAAATAACAGAAACTTAATTTCTCAGAGTTCTGGAGGTAAGAAGTCCAAGATCAAGGTGCTGTCAGGGTCATTTTCCAGGGAGGCCACTCTTCCTGGCTTGTAAACAACCACCTTCTCACTGTGCCTTCACATGTCCTTCCCTCTGTGTAAGTGTGGAGCAAGTGACAGATCTTTGGTGTATCATTATCTTCTTTTGTGAACATTCGTCTTATTGAACTAGGGTCTCATCCTTATGACCTCATTTAACCTTTGATTACCTCCTTAAAGGCCCGTCTCCAAATACAGCCACATGGGGAGTTAGGGCCATGACACATGAGTTTTGGAGGGACATGAATAACAATTCAGTCCATTCAGGCCTTTGTCTTACAAAATCAGACTTCTCCAGATTACATGGGCTAAGCACAAGTGTCTAGTTCAGGGTTCTCAAACATTAATGTGTATCAGAATCACCGGGAGGTTTTGTTCAAACAGATCTCTGGGCCTCACTTCCTTAGTTTTGGCTTAAAGAGTCTGAAATGAGGTCTCATATTCCACATTCCTCACAAGTTCCCAGGTGGTGTTTGCTGCTGCTCTGGGGATCACGCTTTGAGAACTACTGGTTCAACATCCTTCTGCTCTGGTTTTATTTATCAATAAGATCCCATGTTCTTTCTGGCTTCTGGAAATTCTTCAGTCTTTTTGTATGTGTCTCTATTGCCCGTTGTTTTATTCCATTTCTGTTGCTCATAACAAAATACCTGAAACTGAGTAATTTACAAAGTGAAATTTATTCTTTACAGTTTTGGAGGCTGGGAAGTCCAAAGTACAGGAAACATATCTGGGGAGGGCCTTCTTTCCAGTGGGATGACTCTCTGCAGCAACCCAGGGTACTGCACGGTGAGAACAGGCTGAGCAAGAGAGAGCTAACTTGCTCACTCACTCTCTTTACAAAGCCATCAGAACCATGCCCACTACCACCCATTAAACCATCAACCCATTGCTCCATGAATGGATTAATCCTTTCATGAGGGCACAGTCCTCAAAGTCTAGTAACCTATTAAAGGCCCCACCTTTCAGTTACCATAATTGGATTTCCCACTCTCTTAACGCTCCTACAATGGAGGTTAAGTTTCCAACACATGAACTTCTGGGGACACATTCAATCCATAGCATCCAACCACTCTCCTAGGTTGTTAAAAAATCTACTGTAAGTTCAATAGGATTTTGCAAAGATGGGAGGTTAAACAAACGAACCCGTGTTTTGTAAACCTACTATGAAACAGTTTTTAGGATAGGATCCTTATGAAAAACATTTTTTTTTCAAGTTGAGCAAAAGATCTTTAGGTTATATAATAAGTTGAATATGTTAAAAATGTAGTAGAACTGGAGCTGGGTTGGGATAGGAAATTCAAGTTATACTCAACTGCATTTTTTAAAAAATGATATACAAGGAAAAGGAAATAATCTGCCATCTATGAAATGCATTAATCTTATGATTAGTAACATATAGTATAAATTTATGGATACTATGGATACTAAAATAGATATGGAAAAATAGATATGTTGAAGTTGTAAAACAGAGTGATCAAAATGATTGGAGAGATTGCAACAGGTTCTGTCACAAAAGGTTAAAGAAATTTGTTGCTCTTTTTACTGAACCCAAGTCCAGCTGTCTGCCCCAAACAAAAACAAACCACCCAAAAGTCAAATGTTGGTGAAAATGGAAGTCAGCTTTTATTCAGGACTACCAGGGACCTGGGAGAGGTGGTAGACCGACCCATCTCTCCGGTAAACCTGAAGGATGTGGCCAGACTAAAACCATCCCAAGACTCAGATTTACTGAGGGTTTTTTAAAGAGGGGGTTGAAGGAACAGAATGTGGGAAATGAAAAGCAGGAGGGAGGGGGACGTGTAAGGGGCCAGGTGCAAATTGTCACCAAGACGCCTTCTGGCTTCTGTTCTTGTCCTTGACGAAATCCTAGAGTCTGATTTACTTGAGGCTAGAACCAGCATAGCTTTATTGACGGCTTTCTTGGTTTCTCAGGGTCTGGCTAGTGCATGTCTGGAAAACAACTTTACATTTATGTAAATAATGTCATCTTGCCCCATAACCAAGGTTCAAAATATCAAGCAACTGTTGGCATGTCTGGAAAACAACTTTACATTTATGTAAATAATGTCATCTTGCCCCATAACCAAGGTTCAAAATATCAAGCAACTGTTGGAAAAGAGGGAACTCAGAGAGAGGCATACTAAGGAAAAAAGTCTTTTTTTAAGCCCATTCAGTTTTATGTCCCAACATTGCTTCAGTACTGCTCACTCCAATATTCTTATTTTCCACAAACATGCATTAAATATCTTACACTGATAGGTATAGAAAAAGAGCAGTCACACAAGCTTATGATCTATGGCAGTTTTCTATTTTTTTTTTTTTTTTTTCCCTATCATTGGACCTGATGAATGAACTCACCAGTAAGACAAACTCCCATGGGTATACCTCAAATTATTTACAATGATTCTTGTGCTAGCTTTTGCCTTTCTCCTCTGATGTAAAACTAGTAAATTTAAACTAATTATTTGACAGGAAAGCATTTGTAGGATGATTATGCATCTGATAAAAATGTTATTAAGGTAAACCATTTACAAACCTTTGAACTTGATTATTAATAACACATCTGAGAATTATTGAGCTAGAAGTCTGAGGAGTATTTCATTTTTTCCCCCTAATTTGTTTAGGGATTACAAAAAGGATGTTGAGCATTAGTTGATTGTATGCTATAGAGACCAACTGAGATAGATTGACCGTACAAGCCCTTTTTGCTGGAACTTAGGAAATAACTTTTCAGTAGTTGGGAAAACATCAAAATGAATAATTGGGTACAACTGTAGACAGATTGGCATCTATCCTGAATGCTTTATGATTATCATCACCCAAAAGCAGGAACTGAACACTTTCTATTTTACTATTTCTTGGTTTTCCTTTGTTCTTTGTTAAAATGTATTCTCAAAGTCACATTTGTGTTCCAAACAATGCTGATTTTGAAAGAGTATTTATGTATGTATATTATCTTCTCCCTTTGTTTTTCATGTCAGTCCATGTACAGAGGATCACCGGTTAGTACAAATTTTAGAATTTTTAACTCCTGATTTTTATAGGTAAAAGAGAACATAAGTTTCATGCTATTTGGTAACAAACTTCAAAGTAAGTGCATCTTCTTAAATTACTCATCATGGTTTCTTTTAAGTTCCAGTGAACCTCTAAATATAGAGAATAACCTTTTTTTTCTGTGTGGCATTTTTGTTGGTAATTCACTGCATGATGTTATATTTTTTCAACTTTAAGCAAAAGAAGTTTTTGAAATTCATTTTATAATTGTTTTTATTTTGTGCACCTAACAAATGCCCCTGAAATCTTCACTGAAACCATGTGCCTGTTTGTTCTTATGCTCACCATACTTACTGCTGTGTACCACTGCAGAGGCATGACCGAATCTATTGACATCTAATAAAGTCCTAATTATTGCACAATTAAATGGGCTATAATATTCTTGTATATTACTATACAGTTTTTCTTTTTAAACAGATTAAATTAGTCAACATTAACTCCACTGATATAGCTGATGGCCGACCCTCAATAGTTCTTGGATTGATGTGGACCATTATTCTATATTTCCAGGTATTGTGCTACAGTTCCTCTTTGAGTTGATGTAATGTCACAGAGGGAGTTAGTGGTAGATATTTTAATAATGCCCTCATTTGCCATACCATTGGGGTTGATCCTCAACTTAGCAGAAATGTGACCTTCACACATACATTGTTTAATGGTAGCAGGCAAATTTCTTCTCCCCTGCAAAGGTGTTGTAAACGGAACCTCCACCTTAAAGAACTCCAGCAGATGTACCCAATCTGAAAAGGGGACATGTCACAATGGAGATAAAATGTAGTTGTTAGAAGGAGCTCAGGAACATTTTCTTTTTCCTCTGGAAGGGAGCAGTTCTAAGCTCTTATTAGACACAAAGGAGAAAATTAATTTGCTCTCCCATTCAGAATAATTGTTCTAACCATTAAGTTTTATTTTATTAATCCATTCGTGTATTCAACAAATATTTATTACTCTGTGTACGATACGTGTAGAGACGTTAGGTGAAGTACACAGAGGAGTAAAAGGTCAATCATGCCCCTTTGGGAGCTTACCTTTTGTCAAGGGTGTTATGATAAATCTTTAGCTGGAAAAGTGAAATATGTGAGGAATGAAGGACAAGGAAAATTCTCACATGGTTTCTGGCTCTTAACTTACAAACAGATTGAAGAGTTGACCAGCAACCTGCCACAGCTCCAGTCTTTGTCCAGCAGCGCCTCCTCTGTGGACAGCTTGGTCAGCTCTGAGACAGCCAGCCCCCCCAGTAAGCGGAAGGTGGCCACCAAGGTTCAAGGAAATGCCAAGAAGGCTTTATTAAAGTGGGTTCAGTACTCAGCAGGCAAGTAAGTACCAAGAGTTTGTTTATATTTGAAACCCTTAAATAATGGGAGTTATCAATTTATTACTGATTGCACCTTCTAGTGACTGCAAAATTTGAAGAGACATTTGAATGAATGGCTTTGTTTTAGGTCTTGTTTCACTCCTGCCTCAAATTAACAAATAAACAAGAACCACCAACACTCTAGAAAAATGCGGTGATAAAATTAACGCCCTCTTCATTCATGAGATTGGTCCTGATTAATTAAATTGATTAATGATACACTTGGATTACTAGCATGAGGGCTAATTCCATTAAGGTTACTGTTTGGACTTTCTGCTCTTGTTAAATAATCTTTACATAAATACACTAGCAGTTTAAATTTGATTATCTCTTCTAACACTGATATGATTGATATTTAATAATAATAATAAATGTTATTTGATATTTAATAATAATGTGAACTAAACTCCACATTCCAAAAACATTATATTTGTTTTTATTTCCTGAAACTTTCTAGTGATTTTATTTTAAACACTTCTTTTCTTTGTTCTCATTTTTCATCTCAAATGCAGATTTCTTTGTCAACTGTAACTTTATGGACTGAGAATTTATTTCTAGTGTTAAGTTTGCTTCTAGACATAATATATTTACATGTGTATACATTTATGTGCTAATAGTGAATAGAAAATTACTTCTTTCAAGAACTATTTTCTCGTAGAAATTTCAATGGAGTTTACAGTTGATCATACCAATATTATGTGGTCTGATGTGGTCTGGGGTAAGTTCCTTCACGTAGAAGTTGAGCTTTAGTTTGCTTTTCCCAAATGACATGTAAAATTAATTCACTTTCTATCATGTTTTGCATACTAAATCTAACCTGGATTTGGTTCTCTACTTCTGGAAAATAGTTGTAAACAAGTACTTGTCATTATAAAATACTGAGGCGCTAAACATAGGGAGTTCTATTTTTAAAGTGTTCTAAGAGCAATAATAAGGAGAGAAAAAGATAAACACAGAAGATGTAATTAGTGTTACTAATTTATGTAGTTTTGTGTAGCTTTTAAAGTGTGTTGGTGGTTTTCTAATTTGGCGTATATTTTTATGATTCAAGTTGCAGTCAAAAATATTTCTGAAAGCAAATCTTTGTGGCTCCTTAGAATCTGTAGTAGAAATTTAATTTAAAAAATCCTTCCCACATTGATGATTTGATTTGCAACTGTTTGATTGCAAGTATAGTGGAAATTACTAATCTCTATTGCAACTTACCTGGGCAAGGAGAAGAAACGTTCTGGGTAGGAGAAGACTGGTGACCATGTGCTGGCATTTATCATGATGCTATTGCAGTTAACTTTGTAATAAGGTCAATATGATATTCTGTTATCCATTGCTCCACACAGCATTAAATTAACTAAAAATATTGATTTTCACTTAATATATAGTAGGTTGAGGTAAATTCGAGTTTAACGCTGTTGTAGTTATCCTGCATTTAACTTAGTCTCACACATGCTGTGTTGGATTTCAGAGATGTGCAGGGGTCTGGTGACAGCCCAAAGTCATTTCTGAAACATATATTTGCAAAGTCAGTGGAAGCTGTATTTTCGTTACTTGTGCAAATGTCCAGAATCGGGGATCTGAGGGTTCTTCACCCACCAACACATCAGTATGATTCATTTCTTTTGTAGCTGCATAAATTGTAGAGGTTTGGGAAGATGAATCTTCTCTGCCATGCAAATTCTGTAATGGACACATGATTCCATGATGCTACCAAACTGTTGATAATTTTTCTAACAGCTACTTCTTTTTTTTTTTTTTTCCTTTTTGTCTTTTTTCGTGTCCGGCAATGGATCACAACCCTCAGTGTCGCGCCCGTACCGGACCGGGACCGGCCACGGGATCGCAACCCTCGGCGTTGCTCCCACCCCTCGCTCAGCCAGTGAGCGGGAACCAGTCTGTATGTGGGATCCGAACCCTCGGCGGGAGTGCTGCCGAACTCCCAAGCGGCGCACTGTAGCAGTGCGCCACCAGGCAGGCCCTCTAACAGCTACTTCTGACACTATCCCTATGTACATTTCAAGAAATTTTTTACCTGATGTGGATAAAAGACTTTAGAATCTATATGCATTTCAGTAAATGAATGACAATGTCTCCTAAACTTATTGTCTTGTTTGAGACTCTAATCTGAAGGTTCATCACACTTACAAGACTGAAGATGGTGGGACTGAGAGAACATCCAGTAAACACTGGACTAATTGTCAGCTGTATTCACTGTTTTGTTTTTGTTTTTGTTTTTTTTGTCCTTTTTGAGACCGGCTGCACCGCGCTCAGCCAGTGAGCGCTGTGAGTGCACCAGTCATCCCTATATAGGATCCGAACCCGCAGTGGGAGCGCTGCTGTGCTCCCAGTGCCGCACTCTCCTGAGTGCGCCACGGGCTCAGCCCTCACTGTTTTTATATAAAGTTTAAAAATATCTGAGAAGTAAAAAAAAAACAGTTTCATTAACACAGGCTAGTTAAGCCCTCTCTATTTTTTTAACCAATTTTATTCACTATCAGTGCATATTATCAGATATGAAAGCATTAAGTTCTAATATGTCTGACATTTGCATACCTATTAGTTGAATGTCTAAAAAGAACAATAATAAAATTACCAAACTAATGAAGATATTTATAATCCAGATTCATTCAAAGTGACTTGAAGTAAATGTGTATTGGAGGTCAGAAATGCCTATAAACTGGACATACTTTATGACTTCTCAAAGTGATGTATCTAAATTTTCTTTGGGTTTGTATCTAAGATTCTTAAATGAGAGATTTCAACTAAAACTAGAACTTCTTAAGAATATCACCTACTACTTTGACTGATTTAATATGAAACATTGTGTGTATGTATAAATAAGAAACATACACTGTTTCTTATTAAATATATAATATACATACACACATTTGTTTTTTCAACAAATATAGAAAAAATAAAATATACTGAAACATTTTTAATTATCCTAACATAGTAAATATTTAGTGAAATATTTGCTATATTACTTTTTGAAAATGTCTAAAACAATAAGCAAGTTCAAGAAAATCAAAACACCTAATTACACTGTGAATATTTATTAGCTAATTGTTTATTTATTTATAGCTTCTTATTTTGTTAAAAGCTAATTTGAAGTATATTAAAGAGACAAAAACATTTTTAAATGAGGATATGTGGGCAAAGGGAAAATATTGGTAGGGAAGTCTGATGAAGCCAGAGGCAGATATGCAAATGAATAGATAACAAGGACTGACTTACTGTTCAATCTGCATGGATGTCAGATGTCTGCTGAAAAAATTACATTCATATTACCAGAGAGAGAAACTCAAAAAGAACTAGGAGAAAATTCAAGATTACTTTACAATTACTGGAATCTTGTGAAATTGTTTTTAAAATACTTATTTATAGAGCTAGTGATTTGGTCCAGTGATGCTATATTTAGCACAATATATTTTATGCAAACTGAATGGACATTGGTAAAACATGTTTTAAAGTGAAACTTAAGTTCTCTGAGATAAAACTGAAGAACACTTACCAGCTTATTATATTAATCAATGTATCAGTCAAATTATATTTTGCATGGAAATTCTGAGACTCTAGTAAACAATAATTGAGTGATGTTTCTGCTTTATGTAGAAATTATAAATCCCTATATAGTTAATGAGGCTAATTTTTAAAAAAGAAATCTCCACATGACTTTATTCATTGAATGTTACCGAATTAAGTGATTCACAGACTCTACACGCAGTCAAGGTGTCCTGTGCATGCTCAAAGACATCTTTGCAACTCTCCTTTTGGAACCGCCTTTATAATTGATGTTATATAAAAAAAAATCACTTATTGTGAGTTTGTCTCACTTCTGTTTTCAACAAGATATTACTAACAGATTGAATCTGTTTCTTAATTATAACTGGCTTTGATTTAATCAAACCTACCATTAAAAAAAAAGATTTGCTGAAAGAGCATTGCCCCTCAAAGCAATTCCAGAAAAAAGTTTAAAAACAATTCGATGTTTGGGTAATTGGAATTATTGTCTGGTCTTGTGCAGAGTATTGGTTCCTTTGTGACCACTTGCGAGATGTAGTTACATCCATTGGCATTTGTACATTCTAATGCCTTCGGTATAATATAGCTACATTATCTTAGTCTATTATAACCTGTGCTTGCAGGACACAGTGGTGCTTATCATTAAAAATGTGTTAGAACTTTCTTCAGAATATATACAGTGGTTAATTATTATCACTTTTGGTGTTTTCATAATTTTACCTTTTTAAAATTTTGTCGGACATTTTTCTCTAAACTGGTTTTCCTTTAAAAAATAAGTGTAAAAGTGTGCTTTAAATTGGCTATCTCAATGACTGAAAAATCTAATATAGAAAACTCTAAGAATGGAACCAGAATTTCGACATCCTGTCTTGTTACCCTCTAAAAATTTTCTTGTTTTTTTAAAAAAAATTCTCAAAAATAATTAGCTGATGAAGCTAACTGTGCTTTGTTGGTGAAAAACATTAGATTTTGCGTGAGCCATTAAAGAAAGTGCTTGTATCTATTCAGAATGTGACATTATTTTATGTTTTAATCACACCAAGGCAGGCTGGAATAGAAGTGAAAGACTTTGGGCGGAGTTGGAGAAGTGGGGTAGCCTTTCATTCAGTTATCCATGCGATTCGACCTGAACTGGTGGACTTGGAGAGAGTGAAAAGCAGATCTAACAGAGAAAATCTGGAGACCGCTTTCACTATTGCTGAAACGGAACTGGGGATCCCAAGACTGCTGGATCCTGAAGGTACATTTAATAATCGTCTGCTGTTGTATACCTCAACACAGAGGGTTTGTATGTCTTAAACCCAGAAGTTACATGACTTCCAAGACTCTGTTGGACTCCAGAAAACTGGAGAAAAGTAGGAAGAAATAGTATCTTCCCGCATCAGTGTTCCTCTGGATAAATATTTGCTGCATATTTGGGAGCAAAATATGACTCCATTGCTCCAGACAGCACTTAAGCATTGGTGTATCAGCCAGGTGAACCTGACTTACTCAGTGTACTTAAGGGTGGAAAGAAGGTTTTAGAAGTGGGGCGGGGGGTGACAGGATTAAAGAATTACTCTATATAACTTTAAAGAAACTGGAAGAAATAGAAGATTATTAGTAACCTAAGATCACGTATTTAAAATATTGGTCATTAGACACTTAGAAATGTTAGTAACCATCCAGTGTTTTGGTGTCAGCCAGCAAACTACATAAATGATTAATATTTTTCATTCCAATTGTTTGGCACATTTTTGATAAGACTGAATTTTAAGACATTTTGGAAATGAAGTTAACTCTTTTAAGTCTTCAAAAGATAATTGTGATGCCTTTAATAAACTAGTAAATTGTTGTATTGAAATAAAAGTGTCAAAGTGAATTTTCTAAATGTCACAGATAATTTTTTTTATTTGGGTTGGCAATTATGAAAATTTCTGTTAATTATTGCAGAAATGTATATATGCAGTGAAAGCAAGGTATATTTAAGATGGGATTTCAGAATGAACTTTCTTAGCTATAAAACAAAAGGATACACATGCATTTCCAAGAGTAAGTTATAGAGACCTGATTGGATTTCCTGTGAGACCAGGAGCCCCATAGAGGTCCCTCCTCACTTTAGGATCCTGTTTTGAGCACCCCACATTTATTAAAATAGCCAAGAGTTTTCCACCTTGTTTCTGCACAAAAAGCCAAGGGGAAAACTGCACACATATTCCAGCCATCAACTTCAGAGGATGTAACAGAGTTGAAATTTTTTCTAGAGTGGGATGAAGGACAGTATAAATGATTCTATCATATCCTCTAGACTAGAATATCTTAATATTTTCTTCAATAATGTTGTTCAATATAAGGCTATCCCAGATATAAGGTGATCGTCTATTATCCTAATGAAAACTTCCCTTCAGAAATTTATTTAGCCAATTTGAATGTATAAATGTTTGGGGATACAGATTAAATAGACCAATAGCTATTATAATAATTATTTTATAATTTAGTTACATATATAGTTTACAGAATTTACTGTGTTAAATCATGTACCAAATGTTGATTTCACATTTCATGAAACAGTTTTATCGTCCTTCAACGTCAGTGACCTTTCATTTCTAAAATCACCTTTGAGTCATCTAACCAATTGAAGAATACATTGTCTTTGTTTCCTTTTAAGTTGTCTGAGTTGCAGCACTTTCTAAATCCTACAGTGATAGTCCCTAGAAATTACATCTCAAGTTAAAAGGAAGCTTTACAAAATATTAGGTTAGTTTTATAGTACTTCGTGGTGATTTTGGTTTGTTTTATTTTGCTTTTTGCTCCATAAATTGCTTTGCAAAATGTTATCATTTCTGTTGCCTTTAAAATGGGTATTTTAGAGACTTATTTACAACATTCCATTATTTATGGAGCCTCACCCGCATCTACTGATTTTATTAGGTAAATATCTGTAAGCTTTTCAAAATCACAATGATTAAGCTCTTTTCAGGCTGTGCCTCCCTCAAAGAGTACTTGATTGTTCAAAGTACAGCAATTTAGAGAGAATGTCCCACAATGAATAGGCTAAGAAATTGAATAGAAGGCATCTCCCTTTCTTCTAAAGCAAAATTCATGGGGGTGGAAGGGGCTTACTATATTTGGTCATATACAGCATACGAGTTGTTATTTATCATCATACCTGTAGGCATTTTTATACTACCCACTCACCCCAATTCTAAAATTTACATATTATTTGCATTTTATTAACCAGACATTGTCAGAGTAACCATACAATATCTCAGATTTCGGATAAATTAATGTTGAGTTTATTTAAATGAAACATGTACCACTTGCCCAAAAGTATTCCTTAAACTGTGACATCTTTCTGAGTCATAAATTTTCCATCATATATCATCCAATCTAAATCGGTTTCCTCTCCCCTCAAAAAATTCTAAATAGTAATTCTATTTTCCTTCTGCATTTAAGACAGTGTTTTTTTTTTATATACAATAGCTAGATTTCAAAGCTTGTATTAAATCTAATGAATACTAATTAACTCATTCACATTTGGTTTTGGGTTTTCCAGATGTTGATGTGGATAAACCAGATGAGAAGTCTATTATGACCTATGTGGCCCAGTTTCTGAAACATTATCCTGACATCCACAATACAGGGACTGATGGGCAAGAGAATGATGTAGGTATTTCTTTTCTTCAAGTATTGATAGTGCACTCAATGATAATGACTCAGATTTTTAAGCATACTCTTCAAAAGATTACACCGGAATGCATTACAACATGAGAGCACTGAATAAAGAACAGGTAACACCAAATGGGAGGTGATTACAGGAAAAGTTTCTCTGGTTTGTATGTTGGATATGTCACAGAGAACATTATTAATAATAAATGCTAACTATGTATGCTGATGAATTAAAACTGAGGGAAGACAGCAGTGTTGGGAACTCGGTTTTAATTTTTCCATTTTTTTTTTTAAAAACAAAAATTTTTTTAAAAAGGAAAAGGAAAATTATTTGTACTTGACATTCTAGAAAGCTCTGTCCTAGAAAAAAAAGTTAATAGGTTGATGTGAGTTTCCAACATTTTTCTGTGTATATGTAGACACATGTAATATTTTATCAAAAAAAGAATCATAGTATTCATACAATTTTATAATTTTTTCATTAACATTATAAAGAACTATGCAGATCATCATATGTATGTATAATAAGGAATTTATGAGATCTTAATTGTTGGGAATTTCTAATTTTTTGTTATTATAGATAATGTTCTTATAAAAAATCTTGTAATAAAGACTTGTAAGATTCTTTCTTAGAAGTGGACTTCCTAGGCTAAATAACATACAAAATGTTAATACTTTTTAAAATGTCTTTCAATTTTCCCTGTAGAAAGTTTGTCCAATATTACACTTCAGCCAACACACCACAATGCCTCTTTCCCCGGTTGTTAACACCAATATGAACATTCTCCTAATATTTTTGAGGTAGTATTGTATGTTTTTAATTATAGAGAGGTAGATTCACTGCTGAATTTAAAGTTAATAAGGCAAAATGGTAACAGGGAAAATAATAAATAGAATTTTCAATTGAGTTAAAAACCATCTCTGTCTTCATTGCTCAGATCTCAACTGAAGCATTTAAGAAAACCGAAAATTTTTAAACATGCTTTCTAAACAGACTTGGAAATAAGTTTAAGGAGGGAAAAGGTCAAAGGAGAATAACCCAAAGTTTTCAAGTGGGAAAAGGTATTACACTAATAAAAATCAGTGACTTCAAAAAAGAATTAAGCAAAACAAAGGTAGTTGGTGTTTCCTAGTTCTGTTGGATAAAGTTAATCTGGTGTTTGATAGAACAATGTAGCTCTTAAAAAATATAGTTTCAGGGAGCCTTTTTTGTTCCCTGGCAGTATTCAGGCCCAAAGATTGACCACCAGTGTTACTTATCTAAAGTTAACAAAGTAGATGTTTCTAAGAAGCACCACAGAAAGTTGAAACAAAGACTCCACGTGCAAATGCCAGCCCAGATTGATTTTGGAGTCACTTGGGGTTTTCTGGGTTTTGACAATATAATGGACATGGATGTTGCTGTGTGAATAAGAAACTCTATAGGAAAGCATATTAGACTTACCCCATACAGCACAGAGAAAATCAGATTTCCTTCTGATTTTTGTATCTCAAGTCCGTATATTAGTCAATTGGATTTATATCTGATCTGGTTTCTGAGTTTTTACTGTTTTAGCCATCTCTTCAGATCAGTAAACTTTGTGGCTGGAAAAATCTAAGAAACAAAGAAAGATGCTTTAGTTAATGCTCATGAGCAGGAATTTAATGCAAAAATCCTTAGAGATTTGAAACACACACACACACACACACACACACACATACTTGATATAAGCTTGTAATACACTTTACTAAAGAGGTTTTATTATTAAGAAATTAATTTAATTATCCAGAAAATAAATTTTCATCATTTCCTTCTGTCCCTTTCCTAAAAAAGGTAATACATATATGATTTCTTTGGGGTTATCACAAATATTAATTTTGCTGAAAATGTATCATAAGTTTTGCCTTTTTAAATGTGATATTTATAATGTAGGGGATAAGCATCTAAAACTAAATATTTTGAATAACTTTAAATTTTTATTTTTTTATGATGAAGGGCTTATATATAATGAATGCAATTAATGGTCACCTAATTCTGTCTAGTGAGCCTGTATGATTTTATAGACCATGCATATTAGGCTGACTGGCACCATGACCTCAAAACACTCAGCATTTGTCTACTCAGATCTTAGTAAACATCTTAATTCATTTTTAAAATTCTTGGCATCAACATATCTACCAGGCTTTCTTTTTTTGTGTATCTGATTTCTATATCACCTTTATGAGTTTATTTAAATTAAATATTTTATGGATATTATTTTAAATACAATTTTCCTACTGAAAATAGACATTGCCATGCCTTTCTTCAACCAAGTGATAAATAAACTTTTTCTCTTAAGATATTCCTTGGATAGTTAGTACTCAGTCACGAATAAATGAAATAGGTATATTGACTTATCTCTCTTACTGATTACACTTTCAGTTATTTTTTCACCCATCCATTTTTCCACTGCAACAAATATTACTGACTGCTCTCAGAAGCACAGCACAGTCTTAATTATTACAAGGACACACAAATGGGTATGCAGCATGTATCTATAGAGAAAAATCATGAGTCCATATACCTCTTCTCTATGAAGTTCTCCTAAAACATTCAATGTTATTTTGAGACATGTTTACAAAATACATATGTAGCCATGCATGACTACTTCAAATTAAAATAAAAATGTTGTTTGCCAGATAACTACATTGCCTTATTGGAGTTGAACATTTGTATATTTCCAAAAGTTATGAAAACATCTTCAAGTAATTATACCCTTCAAATTATTGTCAATTTATTTATAGACAGATGCCTCTCTTTTGATTATCTTCTTGTTTCTTATATAATTGTTGTACCTGATTTATATTTTGTTTCTTTATATTATCTTTTCATATTGTTAGGAAATACTTCCAGGTTTTTCATCTTTTGCATATTCTATTCAAAATTTTAAGGTAAGATTTAAGCAATCTTGAATTAGTGACCTCTTTCAAACATTCTACATTCTGTAGCTTGTTAGCCAGTCCTTTGCATATATTTGTCTTTATGTGTACATTTCTTTTAATACCTTAATCATGTTAGTTCCTTTTCCTTTCTAACAGGACAAATAACATGCACATGTGTTATCAAACATTAGAGACAGCCTAAGCCACTCCCATGGACTTGCCCACTAATCTTTAATTATAAAATGGTATCAATTAATTTATTTTTAATAACACTACTAGTACTAACAAAAAGAAGAATTTACAATAACATACCTGGTTTCTTTAAATGTGACATGGAAAATAAAAACAAAATTAAACAAAATTAATAAAACAATAAAATAAAAATCTTTGTTAATAAGACTTGGTTCAATAAAACAAAGTTCATTTTTACATGTTATATTAAACAGGAAATAATTGAAAAAGGTAAGTATCCAGTTAGCATCTCAGTCAGTTTCCTCACATCTCTTCTGCTAAATATTGGATCACATGGGTTAGTAAAGTCCATAATACGTAGGACAGGTGCTCAAAAATATTTCTGAGATGAACGGTTATGACTTCTTGCCTGTTTCCCAATTATTAAATACTTATCCTGAATTTCAGCTTTTCAATCTTTCTTTAGTATTTCATGTAGGCCTGTGGTGAAGGATTTAGCAATACAACAGACTTCATGCCAGCATTGAAATAGAAATCAGCAGTAACTAATTTCATGTCAAATATTAGTTGATTTTTATTTCATGCTCCATGAAGCATGAGTTTTTGTATACCTAAACATGGTACAAAAAACATCAATGTGCCTCTGTGTGTGTATGAGTGAAAGAAAGAGAGAGCGAGAGTAAAAGTGAAAGAAAAAGAGTAAAGTAGAGAGAATGCTGATGGTTTAGCTGCTTAGAATTTAGGTAGTTTTCTGTAAGCAAATAAGACCCTGGTGCACTTGAACACACATGCAAGTTGCAAGTTAAAAGACTGACAGGTTCTGGGACTCTAAATACTATTGTTCTGTACTTCATTTTCCTCACAGGAAAGAGAAAGCTGAGTGTGTACATAGTGACATCCTTCTTACCTTGTTGCTATTTGCTTGATGCTTTCCCACCTCTAAAAAAAAAAGTCATTTACCAAATGGGACCCTAATAAAGCTGTTTTAAGCACATACTCTTTTTCTCTCAGAAAACTTTGTGAATTAACTTCAATTGGCAACAAACAGCTCCTCTTAGGGACAGTCCCAAGTGCTTTTCAAATGCAGAAGTTGATGAGAAGACTGCCCTCAAAGGCTCACAGTAAAGTCCTGTGCTCACTGCAATATGGGTCACTTATACCGGTCACCTTGACCTCTGCTACCTTGAAGATAAATCTAGAGCATTTTCTTCCTCTGAGCTCATGTATTAGTCCTTTTCCATTGCTTAGAAGAGGATACCTGAAACTTGATATAATACAAAGAAATGAAATTTATTACTTATCATTTCAGAGGCTAGGAAGTCCAAAGTCCAGGGAACACATCTGGTGAGGGTCTTGTTCTTGGTGGTGACTCTACACAGCAACACGGAGTATCACATGATGAAGGGGATGAGCAAGACAGAACTAACCTCCTCACTTGCTTTTAAAGCCAGCAGAACCATTCCCATTACTCCATGAATGGATCAATTCATTCACGAGGGCACAGTTCTCACAATGCAATCACCTATTAAAATTTCCACCTTTCAGTCCACCGTAATCGATTTCCCACCCTCTTAACACTGTTACAGTGGGGATTAAGTTTGCAATACATGAACTTTGGGGGGACACATCTGACCCATAGAAGCTCATAAGAAGGTTTTATCAGTGCTTTTCCGGGCATGAAAAATCAACCAATATAAAACATATGCCTTGATTATGTTCTTCTGTTCATTCAGGAGAGACATCATCAGAAGAGCTAAAGCTTTGCAGTCTTGGGCTCCAGGTCCATTTCTTTCTCTTATTAACTATGTTACCAGTTAATCATTTATGTTACAATTGTATATTGAGTTATACTGAGAGCCAGACACTGTGTTATGCAATGGAGATAAAAAAAAAAATACGAGTGGTTTGTAACATGGGGAGAAAGGGACAATTAAGGAACAATTATGATATAATGTATTTGGGTGAATACTCAGGTTGTTGCGGGATCATAGAGAAATGTTCTCAGTATATGGTCCCTAGACCAGCGGCATCAGATTCACTTGGAAACCTGTTAGAAACACAAATTTTGGGGCTGTGCTCCAGATCTACGGAGCCAGAATGTGGGTGGTGCCCAACAGTATGCGTTTTCACAAGCCCTCCACGTGATTCTGGTACACACTAATGTTTGGCAACCACCGGCCTAGGAGAGAGACCCCTAACACAGACTCTGAGTCAGTAAAAACTTCCTAGAGAAGGTTGTGCCTGGGCTGAGCTCTGAAGGCCTTATCCAGGGGAAAATGGGAAGAAAAGTGTTTAGGTAGAAAACAGCTGCCTTTGCAAGACCAGAAAGTGAGAGAAGTCAGGGATCATGATAACATTGAGTGGCAATCTGTGTACTAGGTGTGTAGCATAGCTTACCTCTGATTCTCACCAGAACCATGGAAACGGTGTGCAATAATTCCACAGAAGAAGATGCTACAGTACTCAGGTTAAAAAAAGAAAAAAAAAAAAAAATGTGTCAAGATCATAGAGCTAATGTGTGGTAGAACTGGAACTTGAAACCAGTTTTCTCACCTCTGTAGATGGCAGTCTTTCCACTGTAAAACTTTACCTGTCAATGGGGACAGTCATTTCACCTGTGTCCTAGGACTGTGAGCAGCAAGTGAGTGCTGTAATTGAAAGCTATTTGTAAATGCCAAAATGTTTATGATCACTTTGGCATCCCTTTTTTTTCCCTTTGGAATAAGAAAGTCTGAGACACGTTGGCATTCTTCTGAGATATAAAATCTTGATGAAAAAGTAGGAAATTTTCACTAAATCAATGCTAGAATGGCTTCTTTGGTTATTTGTGGGAAAAAAAGTATGTAAATCCCAATTTTATTTTTCATTTTTGAGCTGTGAGGGGTGGCCTGGATGCATTCATTGAGCAGACAACTTGGTAAATCTCTTACAGGTGCCATGTTGCCAGAGTCTAGGAATACCATATTGAACAAGATAAATATGTTTTCTGTCCACGTGAAGATTGATAAACTGAACATCACTTTAAATAATAATATAGACAAGTCATCCAATTTTATTGTGACTGTAACTCTTTGCATTGTCAAAATTAAGCCCATCTGGGAAAGTCCTTCGGGTTACCAACAGCCTTGGGTTAAGAAGCAACCGACAGGCCTATGTTTCCACTCCAGCGATTGCTTTTTCTGATTATTTGTGCACTTCGGACATTCCTTCTTGAGCACATTTTCTTTGTTAAATTAGTGTTACTTGAGGGGAAAAAAAAATGAAGGTAGATAATTTCAGTGTTTAACAAAAAAATTAAGATATTTTTCTAGAATTAACTTTTGCTTCTTACTCTCCAAATGGGGGGTGGGGGAGGGGAGAAAAAAATTTTCAGACACAGCTGGGACTTCTTAAATATTAAGTCTATTCTAGGATCAGTCAGGTATTAATTAGCAATTAAATAAATGCACAATTACTAAAAAAAATTGTAATATTTCCTGGTTTTTAGAGAGAAGACGGGCTAATTTTGAAGGAAATGAATGTTTGGATAGAACAATTTGAAAGAGATTTGACAAGGGCACAGATGACAGAATCGAATTTGCAGGATAAATATCAGGTAATGTATGGAAAAAAGATTTCGATTTTTCAAAAACTTTTCATGAGTAAGATTCATATACAAGGGGACTTCAAAAAGTTCATGGAAAAATTTGTATTATCTTTCAATTATATGTTTCCCCAAACTTTTTGAAGTACACTCTTATGTCGTTTAAATCTGTGTTTAATCTTTCACATTATGTTAATGAGAAGTCTTTAAATAAATAATATGCATTATAATAAGTTTCTGCATAATTTGATACTTGTATTTCTATCTAAATAGGTAGTTTTAACCGCCATTTTCCCCCTCCCTAAATAGGTAGTTTTAAATTGCATTGTGTCCACACTATACATGGAGCTCTGAGGCTTCATCACTTTTCCATAATTCAGTCTTGTAGATGACCCCAAAACACAAACATAGAGTCATTGTTTTTGTAGAACTCATGGTCTTATAGGTGTCACCCAACACAAAAATTCCCACACACAGAAAAAAGAAACCCTCATGAGTCAAATTGAAATTTACTGTAAAATAAGCTGAATTAGGATTGCAACATGAATGTTTGGAGTGGGTCCATTAGACGGTCGATTTCAACTGCGACCTGCTTAGTTCAACAGCATTCAAGTTGAGATCACAGTTATTGATTCTCCCAGTCTCATTCCGCTGCCATTAATTGGATTTCTGCTTCCAATTTCCACTTCCAAGACACAAAGTTTTATAACAGTTTTTTCCCATTAAAAAGTTGTGATTTAGGGTGGGCCATTTACTTAGTTGCTTAGAGAGCAGTGTTAATAACACCAAGGTCAAGGGTTCAGATCCCCGTACAGGCCAGCTCCCAAAAAACAAACAAACAAAACAAGTTGTGATTTATTCTACACAGCATTGTCATTTTCCTTCTATTTAAAATCACTTCATTTTAGTGGCAAAACTAAATATAGTATATTCTATATTATATTTTACATTATATTCTACTCTACATCATATTTCAATCATTTTTGCTACAAAAAAAGGGCACAATGATGTGAGAGATTCAACATGGGAGACAATCAAAGATGTATCGATGGCATTAGTCTGTGTTTTTATATAATCATGTCTGTAAAATATGCCTGAATTTAGATGGATGATACATCAATATTATATCTGTTGAACTTGGCAGATCAATAAATGTGTGCTCATTATTCATGTGCTCTTTTGCTTTGAAACTCAATGTAGTCTTTTTTTTCCCAAAAATAAAATTTTCTGGGATGAGCTCCATTAAAAAATGATTCAGCCAGTAAATTGAGAACAGAAATGCAAGAATAGAATAAATATACTTATTTAGTCTGTTGGTGAATTTTAGTTTTAGCATAAATTATCAAAAAGAAATCCCAAGTTATAAAGTTACCTGTTGTACAGATGTTATTTTATAGGAGGGAAACAAAAAATTAGAAAAATATAAAACAGACATACTCCTTTTAGGCTAAAGATGATCACTAGTCTCTTGAAAATAGGGTAAGAGACTATCTGAAATCTGAATATAGGGAAAATTTTCTTTCATGTGTGTATTACATAATCAGCATTTTCCATCTGTTTCAACTTATTATTAAATACCGTATTTTCAAGTTTTTCCATGAGTAGGATCCTGTGGAATAAAATTAAAGATTGATGTTTTGATATGATTTAAATTCCATTAAGTTATAGAAATAGAAGTGAGGAATTGTGATAAAATTTTTATTCACCATCTCCCCCCAGTGTTCTTCATGTGAATTTACATGTTTTTTTATTATTTTGAAATTCTTTTAGATGTGCTATCTGCTAGATTCTGCAGCACCATTCTCGTGTTCTGTAACATAATTGTACATTCTAATGGTATTTTCAATTCATATTTGGACTTGGAATCACATTTCAGGATATATTAATTTAATGTAAAATGTAGAACTTTAAAATAACTACTTTTTATGTGAGTATTAAACTCATGGTTAAGTCTACATATTATAAATTTATTTTAACCATACTGTGACATACTTAATATTTTAATGCCATAAAATTAAAGCAAAGCGTTATTATGCAAATGAGGTCCCCTGAAGTAAACCTCTTTATTCAGGCTTACTTAAACACAAATTAAGGTATCTTTAATTTGGGGTTATTTTGATGTATGTAATTTGTATTTGTAAATTGTTTGGTACTTTGAAGTAAAGCAACTATCTTGATTATTAGCATAGATTTACACTCCTGTTTTCTATGATTTCCTGACAAACATGAACTGGTATGTAAATTACTTAACTAGAAATGAGAAATCCTAGGCTCTAGTCCTGCGTCTACCACTTGTCCTTGACAAGTTACTTCTGGGTTTCATAATAACAATGTGGGTCTATGTGGTAGGACTATGAAGGGAACTAGAGAGGATGACATGGAAAAGCACTTAGCATGGGATCAAGCTCATAGTCAGATGTTGGTGAACGGCAGCCACTACAGTATCATGACTGTCATTATTATTATCAACAACATATATTGAGTGCTATCCAAATATAAAGGATTGTTATTTAGGAAACGTGTTTTCCTTTGCTTTTGCTTTTTTTGACTCACTGCCATATTATTACTGTTTTTCCTCTTTTAGTCATTTAAGCACTTCAGAGTTCAATATGAAATAAAAAGGAAACAGATTGAACATTTAATACAACCATTACATAGAGATGGGAAATTGTCACTTGACCAAGCATTAGTAAAACAATCCTGGGATAGAGTGTCCTCCAGGGTAAGTTCCCCTGTGATTAATTACATTAAGGTTTAAGAATATTTTTCATCATCTTTTCCTACACAGTGATACTGCATGAGACCCTACTGCCTCTGTCTGAGGTTGGAAAGGCTTCACTTTAGGAGAATCTTTGCCCTCTTGTTAAGTTTTCCTGTAAGTTAGTGGAAGTGCTTGGTTTTACAGCTGTTTTCCTGCCTTGCCTAGCCTACATGGGATATTAGCCATTGACTAGATGATAGATTGAAATCCTGAGAGACCATCTGGATTACTGCTTACCTTACATGACTCAATTCTGGGTTGTTTGGAAGAGGTGACTGTCTTGTCTTGTAGAAGATTCTCACGAATAGAGCCTCAACAACTTCTCATATTCTGTTACTGTGTTTCATCAACACTTAATAATCTTCCTGTATTGACATACAATCTTGTATTTTTTAATTCAAGCGCCTCTTCTTATCTGGGTCACTCATAAATATGGAGGAAAACTACTCAGTATCTTTCATATTAACGTTCTTCGTGCTTTAAGACCAAGATGTCAAACCCTCGGACTTTTTTACCACTAATATGAATATTTGTCTTGAACTGACCTTTTTTTTTTTTTTTTTGATAATCTCATTTTTTCCATTGAATCCATCAAAGAATGGGTTAGTTCCTAAGCACCTCAACTCATCCTACCTGGCATTCCAGTAAGCTAGGAAATGGTGCTTGAGAATTGGGTAGAATGGAAGAAATGGAGAAAAGGTTAGAAAATCATAGGATTATAGAAAAAAATCCTGAAAACTCATCTTTGTCTACAGCTGTCTAGACAACCCTAATTTTTCTAAACTTGTTCTGATCACAAGTTTAGAGGTTGTACTGGAATTCTCATGCTGTTGATCAGGATACACATCTGCTGGTGCATAACTACTGCATCCTTTGAGAATGTCCACAAATTCAGGCTCTTTCCTTTCAGCAAAAGCAACACCAAAATTCAGTGGGTGCTTTTTGCTATTCCCACAAGAAGAAAGTTGCTTAAACTTCCAATATTCTTCCATGTCTAAGAAGCATTTTGAATTTCCTCAAAATTTGCTTGTAACTCTAATTTCTTCCCTATCCCCAAAGCATCAAACTCAGAACATAGATATTTGCTTATTTGATACTTATTAAATTAACCTGCAATTATTAACTTAAAGCCTCAGGTAGGCTCTAAAATCATTGGGGGAGATTTTAGGAGTTGTCTTCTGTATTAGAGATATTTCATTTTTCTGCCTTTTTCATTGCAGCTCTTTGATTGGCATATACAGCTTGATAAATCTCTTCCTGCACCTCTGGGCACCATAGGTGCCTGGCTGTACAGGGCAGAGGTGGCCCTGAGAGAGGAAATAACCATTCAGCAGGTCCATGAGGAAACGGCAAACATGATACAACGGAAACTGGAGCAACATAAGGTAAAAATTCTGGTTGGAAAACATTCCAGCATAATGGTCCTAGTGTGGCCTGGAGAGGGGGCCTCGTTAGATCCTGTCCTGGCAGAGACCTCCCAAATATCCATCCTTCATGACTCAGACACACAGCAGATTCTTAGACATTCTCTAATTTGCATTTTTCTTTCCTGTACTTGTTAATGACAGTTCCAGGAGGCTGATTTCCTAAGACATTTTCCTGGAGCTCTGTGGTACTTTTATCATCTGCAGCTATCTTTGTTACTTCTGTTACTATATTTATTTTCAAAAGATAAGCGCACGGATAGTATCCATTTACATAACAATGTGACTGGCTCTGGACCTCAGCCTTGACTTCAGTCTCTAGGAAGGCAGGCAGACATTCTCATGTCCTGGGGCTGTGGGGTTGGCTGGAGGGAAGGGTGGCCTTAGGAAGTGATGGATTAGGCTTTGATGGCCTCTTAGTCATTTGGAACATTTTTAGCTTAATGTACGGTCAGCTGTGTATAGTACAAGTTCCAATACACCTCTTTGTGTTTTGTGATAGTACGGGCCTCACTAAAAATGCTGTTTTTCATTAAGGTCACATTAATGCAATCCTGCTTTTTGTGCAATTGAATTTTGCTCCCATTTGCTGTGTCGTGGCGGGGTTTTACTGCATATGTAGAAAACAAACTGATAAATGAAAATGTGTGCGCCTGACTACATAGGAGCAATTTATAGCTCAGAAATATTTTCTGCCAGATTATTGAGGTGTTCTTTAAAAAATCACTACAAGGAAATAGACTATTACATGTTCTAGACTAGCTCATAAAGCATGTTCAAGACAGATTTTGTTTTGTGCTTCTCTGGGACCTCACTTTTGGAATCAGCAGTGTACAGATACAGAGGCAACACGCCCTTTCAATTCAGCTGACTCAGCCCCAGACTAGCTCATCAGACTGACAGAGCCAGATTTCACAGTCACAGGGTGTCACTCAGGGGCTGCCTCCATTACTCCTGGCCCTTACTTAGTTACCCTCAGTGGCTTCAGACACTTTTAGATTTGCTCGTGATCTTCGCCCTCCCCACCACTGTCAACACACTCACACATAATTCCTCATCATCTGGCTTCTCAGATGACTTTGGGGTCTGTGCCATCTGTATAATACAACATAAAATCTGGGCCTGCTAGTCTGCACCTTAGCTTTCTGAGAATGGGGGAAGCTGTCAAGGAGCCAGAATGCAGGCCTCATACAAAATCAAGTCCTAAGGATTTTTTCCTGGGATTGAGCCAGGTTAAGGATTCTCAGAAGCATAGAAACAACTGGGCCCTGTCATTATTGAGACTCCCAGATATCAAAACTAGGGAAAACAGGTTTATACAAATAATACCTCTTTAACAAATTAGCAATTAAGTATATATAACATACAACAATTTCTATTCGTGTAAAACATGTAACAATTGAAATTATTTTAACTGACAATTTTTTTTTTGCTTCCTAAAATTTATTTATGTTTAATTGACACATAGTGATTGTACGTATTTATAAGGTACAGAGTTATATTTCAATACATGTATACGATATTTAATGATCAAATCAGGGTAATTAGCATATTCATCATGGCAAAAACTTATCATTTCTTTGTGATGAGACCATTTGAGCTCCTCTCTTCTAGCCAATTGAGAACATACAATACATTATTGTTAATTAAAAATGCCCACACTACTGTAGACCACTAGAACTTATTTGTACTATGAAGCTGTGATTTCGCATCCATTAACCAACCTCTCCACCCCCCTCCCCCATCCCCTTCAGAACCATCTGTTCTGAGTTAAGACCAACCCCTCCACTGTGCAATCTATCCCATCCTCCCCCGTCTCTCCCAAAGAAAATTCCTGTTATATTTCCCTCCTTTATTTGTTTTTTCTCTACCTTTCTCTGCTGGATTTCCTCCATCCACATACAAATACGCTGTTATTTCTCTCATTGTTAACAAGTCTCTTTCTTAACGACTTCCCCTTTCAGCTACTGTCCAATTTTTTCCTTCATTTTACAGCAAAGCTCTTGAAAAAATCCCTTTTTTCGTTTTAAAATTCTCTTCTCTCGTTCTTTCTAGAACTTGTTCTAATCAAGCTTTCCCTCACCTGGCCACCCATGCAAAGTTTACTTTGCATGTTCACCTTGTGCCTGTAGTAACCAATGTGAATATTTGATACAAAAGAAGTCACTTCAGAGTTTTAAGTAAAGTGTAGAATGTATATCAACTGTGAGTTAAACGTGTGATTCAGCAAATATGCATTGAGGGCCTACTGTGGGCCAGTGTTCAGCACCAGGGCAAGAGGCGAAGGTGACAAGGTCCAGGTATTGGTGGTACCTCCAGTCTAGAGGGATGAGAAACGTCCATGTGTTTTGTTGTTTATATAATAGAGTCAAGTCTAATCTAAATGTTCCACTGTAGAGAGAATGTCCTACTATGTAACTGTGTTACTTACTAGATAATTATAAGATTTCACAGAAATATTAATTAAGTGCATAGTATAGGTGGCATTAGCCCCTGTCAGGAAGTGAGTTTTAAGTTGGACGATGCACATGCTATCTCTGTTTTCAGTGACTTTATGATTTGAGGCTCTTGATGAGCCCTTCTGGATCTTTTGACAGAGAGAGGGAGAAAGACTGACTATGCCAGTTACCAGGAGTGCAGCTAGAACAATCTCTCTGCCAAAATGTAGTGAACAAGCCATAAAAACCAGAAACAAAGTGGAGCAGGGAGAGGAAGAGGGGCGGGAGACCGAAAAAACCAAAAAGGACTAGATTAAAAAGAAAACTGGGGAAAGCAATAAAGAGACATCAGGAAGCAAGCAGAGGCAGATAGGAGCTAAGGCCAGGTTCAAAGTGCAGCTCAGAATGATCTTTTTATTGAGGTAGAAACTTTTACTAGGCCTGGGCACAGTTGCTTTCAGTAGCAGTCATAAAACGATGTAATTGTCAATGATGAGGTCAATTCTCATCTGTTCAAAATATATTTGTTAGGTGCTTATAATAGGCTAAGATTTGAAGGAAAGAAGTTGGAGTCATTGTTGAGATAACTGAATTCTAGATTTCCTCAATGGCTGTAAGTCAGTCTATCAAATAACTCCTCTCTGCTTGTATACTGGGCTCACCTGGAGATGCGACAAGTTTGGAAAAGCACAGTAAAGGACTCATTGACACGTAAATAAGTATGTTTGAGAATATTATCTGCCCTTCCCAGGCTGAAAGACTAATTCTGATTCTTGTGAAGAAAATTTCAATATGCTATCAAAATTTAAAATGCTTGGTTTTCTGAGTTCTTTACACTTAAAAAAAAAACCAGAATAATTATTACTTAATGCATGAGCAGTATTTGCAAATTGGATTCAGATAAATTTTTAAATGTATGAGGGTACTTCAAGAAATTCATAGAAAAATTGGTATCATCTTTTAATTCTATTTTTCCATGAACTTTCTGAAGTACCCTCATATTTTAGAGTTTACTTTATGTTCTGCCAATGTTTTGTGGTTTTATTTACATATATATATATATAAATTAACTCACACTGTGTCAGAATATATTTATTCTGCAAAGAAAAGTGTACTTGTGTTATCTTTTCTATTTTCCAAATACTATAATGCTCAGTCATCTAGAAAGATAGCAATAACCGTATTATTGAGGATTTAACCATGTTTCAGTTTTAAGTATGTAGTTTTGCCGAACACTTGACATGAGGGATATGGGATAGTTCTTATCCTCTTCTGCAGATGAGTGAACTGTAGGCAGAGAGAGGTTAAGTGAGTTGCCCAAGGACACAGAGTTAATAATCCAGGTTGTCTTAAGCGCTAAGCTTAAAATATGCCTATAAAGCTATTGATATGCTGGCGGGTGATGGTGAGAGATTGGTCAACAGATACAAAACCACAGTCAGACAGAATATGTTCTGGTGTTGAATTGCTTCGTAGGATGACTACAGTGAACTATATTGTATTGTATATTTCAAAACAACTACAAAAGAACATTTTTGAATGTTCTCATCATGAAGAAATGATGAATGTTTAAGATGATGGATATACAATCTAGCCTGATTTCATCATTTGACCATTACACAATATATCCATGTATCGGATAATCACACTGTGCTCCATAATTTCACAATTATGCTGCGTCAATCAGAAGTTTTATGAAAGCTACTACATATAGTACACATAGAGGGATTATACTGATTAGTTTAGTAGTAGTAGTGCTGCTTTGGCAAAGTAAGGCTTTCAGTTAAGGACTCATGAGAATAGTCATGAGACGTCACCAGCCATCTTTACTGTAGTTATGAACTTCACTCCGGTCCCTTTCCCTCCTTTCTTGAAGATTTTATTTCCTGGATGACAATGCATGCCATAATGCTTAATAACGTCAGTGACCCATAGATGATCCTCCCAGTATCCTGGCCTCTTAGTTCCTTGACCCTGTCTTCCTTCATGATCCTGGCCTGCCCCCTACCCTAGCCACTCACTTTATAGTCATAACCAAGAGTTATCACCAGTAACTGAAACCCCTCCACCGTGTCTCTGTCACGCATCTCACTGTCTAACTAAACAAGTCTCCATCTCCTCTGTGCCCTTTCATCCCTCGATCCTACTGCCTTTCACCACCTCCCATCCTCTCCATTTCTTCACTGCTTACATGCCATGTTCAGTCATTAAAAGTCACCCCTTGTATACCCTTCGATTGCTTTGTCTACATCTCACTTTGTCCCACTACCCTGGTTAAAACACAAGGCTGGTTAAAGCCAACTCTCTGCCTGGTTCATGCCCACGCACATGCTGCTGATGGTGGCTGGAGAAAAACACACCCCCAGGCACAATGACTAACCCAGCAAGGCCCTTCATGCTGCCTGGCAATCCCAAGGTGTTCCGCGACTCCTTGCCTGGCCATTTCTGGAACAGCTATTTCATACCTTGTCTCCTCAAACCTTCCACACCTCCTCCCCTTCCTCACCCTTAACTGATGACATT